CCGCCCAACCCGAAGAAGCTGGTGTGCCCCTTCCCAGTGCCGGCAGTTCCCTCGCCCGAACCGCTGGCCTCGGCCATGGAAGCCAACGAATCGTTAAAACTCGGCTCCGCGGTGAGCAGATCGGCGATATCTACTTCGGTTAGCTCGAGTTCCGCGAGCGGTGTCTCCACAATCTCGGTCTCGATCGTGACCTCTTCCTCAGACGAGGAATCCATTCCGCCGAGGCTGAACAGATCCATCTCGTCTTCATCGCCAACTTGTTGAGAGTTCAGCGAGATGCCAGAACCAGGCGAGTCCGGCCGATCCAAATAGACCAGCGCCAGGAGAATGATCACCATCAGGTGGACGATCACAGAAACCAGCCACGGTGGAGCGCTTTCGGTGGGATGAAACGTCGGCGCGGCTTCGTCGGACTTTACCGTTGCAGGAGGTGCCTGAACAGGCGGCGGCTGCATCGGCGGATTATGTTTGATGACAGTCGACACTGACTACCTCGTGCTCTTCTCAATCAACTTCTCTAGCAGTAGTTCCTGAGGAAGAAGAGTGGTTCTCAGGAAAACTAGATTCACTACTAACTAGAGGAGCAACTCGCATGCCGTGCCAAGGGCCTGCGGGGAGGGTTGGCTCCCAAAATTGCGGGAGAGATCTGGTGGTTCCGACACCAGTTCCCCACTCCACTCAGAATAAACAATTGATGGGAGTAAGCCAAAGAACTTTGCCCAAATACGGCCGAAGCCAGTGCCAGACAGGGCAACGTGTCGGTTTAACCGACAGATTCGCCCCGAAGACACCAACCACCCACAAGAGTGTCAGACCCCGCTCCCGCCTGCCACACAGGTCGGTAATCGCACACTTCGTTCATGGCAGCGGAAACTGACGTCGCCCGTCTACACCGGCACCTCAGGTAGGTTGTATTCCCACCAAGCCTGGGCTTCCGGGAAACTCCACTCCGCTGGAAGTGCAACTCCCCGAAGTTGGCGACTGAGTTCCACAACGGTCTGCGGACGATCCCCCGGGTCGCGCTGCAGACAGGCCATGATGATCTCTTCCAGCTCACCAGGAACGCCAGCATCGGAAAGAGCCGACTCGCTCGTTGCTTCTTTGTGCGATTGCCCACTGACGATATAGAACGCTACGGCACCAATGGCATAGATATCGGAGCGGTGGTCGACGTGCTGCGGATCGATAAACCGCTCAGGCGCCATATACAACGGTGTGCCGCCGATTTGCATTGTCTTGGTCACGTCATTCGCCGAAGCGGGGCTCAGGTCTTTGGCCAACCCAAAGTCGAGCACCTTCACAAAGTCATACTGCCCGCCACGCTGACAAAGCATGACGTTCTGCGGCTTGATGTCGCGATGAATCAACGATTGGGCGTGAGCCTCGGCCAATGAGCCGCAGACCTGGCACAAAATGAACACCGCTCGTTCCGGAGTGACCGGACCAAAGCAAGTGACCAGTTCATGAAGAGTGACGCCTTCGACATACTCCATCGCGCAGTAGAACGACCCCGACTTGGTGCTACCGAAATCGTATATCTCGATTGTATTGGGATGCGACAGCCGACTGGCGATCTGGACTTCTCGTTCGAACCGCTTCACGCCTTCGTGGCCCACTTGATCGGGCTTCATCAACTTGATCGCTGCTGCCCGCTTGAGCATGGCATGTTGGGCAAAGTACACGGTGCCCATCCCGCCTTCGCCGATCTTCTTTCCGAGCCGATAAGGGCCCAATTCCTCGGCCACCTGAACACGACGCCGCCAACCCGCGGCCGAGAACATCGAGATGACTGCCGCCGTAGCCGAGATCGCCAGCAAGCCAAACAACACACCGTATGACACCAGCAAGTAGCGAAGAGGAAGATACGCTTCGCTGACGTCCATCTCGGTGACCACGCCCATGTGGTACTTAGGCAGCCAGCGCCAAGCCCCAATCACCTCCACACCGCGGTAGTCGCGATAGCCATCGAGCAACAGTCCCTGCTGCTCCGTCGGGTCGGTCTTGTCGCGGCTGGCAATCGCCAATGCTGCAATCTCGGTAAGCGGTCGTGCGGCCACTTCCCGGCTGGGTTTGCCTCCCCGGGTCAGGTCGACTCCAGGATCGCGCACCTGCACGTTCACCATCGATCGCGACGATTCGTCCTTATCAATCAGCCCCAGGTCTCGCAGTTGTTCGTCAAAGCGACTCTCTGAGAGCATGAGCCCCTGGGCATCGAAGGCATATGTTTCGCCTGTCTCGCCGATGTCGCCCACTTCCAGAATATCGCTGAAGTTCTCGTCTGCGAAAGTCGCGAACCCTAAAGAGGCGATGTAGTCTCCCTTTTTATCAGGAACGGGAGCATCGACCCAACACATCGGACGATCGGTTTCCAAGGCATGCGTTGTGTTGAGCAGTGAGCCCGGAGGGTAAGGCCGCGAGTAGACAATCTCACCGTCGAACACCGGAGTCATCGCGGCCATCCCCTGGGCGTTCAGCCGGGCTCCGATGACGTCTTCATTAGTACTTCCAAGAATCAACCCTGCCCGATCGACAACAAAGTAACCCGCACTGTTCTGTTCATCCACATAGGGGTCGATCAGTTCGTGCAATCGCAAACGCTCATCAGCACTCTTCAAGGCTTCAGGAGATGTGGTTCCCTGTCGTGCAATTTCGACCAGACTTCCCACCGCCTCACGGAGCTCGGGGTCCTCGACGCAAGCCTTCGCTTCTGCCTTCCGCGACTCGATCCACAGTTCCAGCGCGAGCACGTCGGCATCGAGTAAAGCCTTCAACGACTCACCCCGCACCGTTTTCAGGGCATGGTGAATTGAGTTGTAGGTCCACCAACCCACTAAGGCCAAAAACGCGGCCATGAAAGCCAGGGCAATCAGACGGCGAGTCGGCCGATCTTGTGGAATGGTGAAATTCGGCCAGGTAAGCCGCTTGCTATCACCGTCGGAGAACTCCTTCCCGCTGATCACATCCTCGGTCGTGGTGTGACCGGTATGCGTGTCTTCGAGGATGGTCTCGTTAAAGTGATGGGCCAACAGCGAGTCGACCTCACGGCGCAACTCGGCATCGTCGCCGCAGGCCTCTTTCAAAAAGGCCTCTCGCTCGGAATCAGGCCGCTTGATGGCAGCCATGAAGATCGTCTTGATGCGAGCGTACCGCTTGGCGTTCACTCGTCGGTTTCTCCACTGAGTTCGCGACGCAACCAGGCCCGGACCATCGTCCACTCATATTCGACCGTGCGTTTTGAGACCCCCAGCACTTCGGCCACTTCGGCCACGCTCAGCCCGCCAAAGAACCGCAACTCCACAATCTTAGCTTGCCTGGGGTCGACTTTTGCCAATTCTTGTAGGGCATCGTCGATGGCCAGCAGGTCCTCATCGCGACTTTTCGAGATGGTCATGCCCTCTTCCAGCTCGATTCGCTGTAGGCCGCCTCCATGCTTTTCGCGTTTCTTGCGGCGAGCATGATCGACCAGAATTCGCCGCATGGCCTGGGCGCCAATCGCAAAGAAGTGCGACCTGCCTTGCCAAGTCACATGCTGCTGATTCACCAGCCGTAGGAAGGCCTCGTGAACAAGAGCCGTGGGCTGCAACGTGTGCTGAGGCTTCTCTCGATTGAGATAGTCGGCCGCCAATCGCCGGAATTCGTCGTACAGCAACGACATCAACTTGTCAGCCGCCTGCCGGTCTCCCCCGGAAACGGCATCGAGCAACGTGGTTGTCTGCTCCGACTGATCGTACGTCACGAGTCCCTCACGGCGTTCACAGCATGATCGGTTTTCGTCGGCCGAATGCCCTCAGTCATTGAGTCCTGTTCGACCGCCACCATTATAGCGAACCCTCCCCCCCGCGCCACAACGCCTTCCGCGAAGATTGCGAGCCCTCGATTCGGGCTGCCTGAGTGTGCCAAAAATTCTTGGAAATTCTTCTGCGGACTTCGTGCCGATTCCTCGCGTTTCTTAGTGAGGCCATGAGAAGAGCACCTGTTCGACTGGAAGAACACAGCAGCCTCGATGTTTGCAGGAGGGGTTTCGATGTCACTGCATTATTGCCCCTGCGGAACGTTTGTTTCCACATCGGCGTTAACCACAAGTTGTCCGCGGTGCAGCCGGCTTCTAAGCGGGGAGCATCGCATCCAACCAAGCCAGATCGTCGAACTGCTTGCCGCCCTTGGTAAACGGTTGCCCGCGAACCCGGTCGCCCTGCGACGGCCGTGCCCGATTGTTACGCCCAAAATTTCTCACGAGGAGTCTCACGATGCTCGCCACCTGTGGAATCACCACACATGAACTGTGGATCTCCAGCGACTTGCAAGAGATCGAAAAGGTGCACGCGGCAATCACCGAGCAACTTCGGGCCGTGAAGTGCTCCGCGCTCGATCAACTAGCCGCCCGGCTCGCCGTTGAAGAGGCCCTACTGAACGCAATCACCCATGGAAACCAACAGCAGCCGCAGCGGCTTGTGCACGTGGTGTTCTGGGTCGACGAGCAGCACATCGGGGTCCGCATAGAAGACGAAGGAGAGGGGTTCGATGTCGACGCGGTTCCCATGTTTGCACCCAGCGACTGGGGCGAAGTGCCCTCGGGATTGGGTTTGTTGATCATGCGTCGATTCATGCACCAGGTTGCTTTCGAACATGGGGGATGTGTCGTGACGATGACGCGGTTTTTCGACCTTTAGTTGAACCGGCTGTTTAGGTTGGCGGCCGCAAGATGACTGACGTGAACGCGAGACAGTGAAGAGGCAACGTACAGGTATTCGTGTTCGCGAGGGGAAATACCCGATGGTGTCGATGGCCCTTGTGCCATCGGGTACGCCCGGCAACCCCGGACCTTAGGCGCCGGGGTGGGAGGCGAGTCTCGGGGGAAGCTCGCCAGTCATCTTTTGCGGCCGCCTTTCACACAACTAATGGGGTGGTTTCACAGAACGAATTTTCACGAATATGTGAGAACAATCTTGAAAAAAGAACTAAACCGTTTACCCGTCCCATTCGTAAATGGGAGTAGCACTATGAACAACCAACATTCCAATCCCGATCGCATTCGACGCTCGCTCGACCGCCGCACCACCGACGGTTTCTGCGACTGCGGATCTCAACGACAACCCGCGTTGCATCGCATCGCTTCGGTGCGTCAACAAGAGGGAGTCTCGCTGCGACAACTCCGCAGCATGATGAAGATCGGGCTGCCCGAACTCCGTCGGCAGGAACGCGCGACAACTGACCTGCGGCTGAGCGAACTCTACCGCTGGCAGCAGGCCCTGAAGGTTCCAGTCGCCGAGCTATTGTCCGACCCTCCCGATCGCCTCTCACCGAGCCTCGTCGAGCGGACGCGGATGGTTCGTGCCATGAAAACCGCGCTGAGTATCGTCGACCGGTGCGACAATCCGGAAATGAAGCAGCTCGCCGAGCAATTGGTGGCCGAGCTGAACGAAGCCATTCCGGGTCTCGAAAGCGTGGGAGCGTGGCCGCTGGTGCAGCAGCGAAACGGGAAAGACTTCGGCCGCACGCTCGAACAGATCATCTCCACCCAGTTGGTCGACGAGTCGTGACCAGGTGGAAATTTAAGCCTTCGCTCTCGATTCGCAACCAACCGGCTGCAAGACGCGCTTCCTCGGGCTATGATCGCGATTGTTACGTCTGGCTGAAGGCCGATATCCGGCCATCATGCCCACCAACAATTGCTGCGATCTTCCGAGGACTCTCATGTTTCAAGGTATCTTGCGCCTCTTAGTGGCCATGTTGATAGCTTGCGCGGTTACGCCGCTGCAAGCTTCCGAGCAGACGGCCCCCAACATCGTGTGGATCTTCGTCGAAGACATGAACGGCTGGATGGGCTGTTACGGCGACGACACGGTACCCACGCCCAACATCGACCGTCTCGCCGCACGTGGCCTGCGTTTCGATCGCGCCTACATGCCCGCCGGGGTCTGCTCGGCCACGCGTTCGGCCATGGCTCTTGGCACGATGCAAACCACCATGGGCGTGCACAATCATCGCAGCTCTCGCCAGCGCGTGCCGGAAGAAGTCATCTATCTTCCCGATGGAGTAAAAACCTTCTACGAAATCCTCCGCGACAACGGCTACTACGTCTACAACGGTGGTGGCAAGAACGACTTCAACTTCATCTGGGACAAGAAAGACCTGTACGACTTCGACGGTCGCCGCATCGGCTTCCACGGCCCCGAGTGGCGTAAGCGTGCCGCCGATCAGCCATTCTTCGCCCAGATCCAACTCCGCGGCGGGAAGAACACCGGCCAGTTTGCCGGGGCAAAGAAGATCGACAACGACAAGACACACACCGACCCCGCTGCGGTCGAAGTCCCACCGTACTATCCCGACCACGAGGTGATCCGCAAAGAGATCGCCCACCACTACGATTGCATCCGCCAGACGGACGACGAAGTGGGGCAGATCATTGCAGCCCTCGAACAAGATAACCTGTTGGATAACACCATCGTGTTCTTCTTCACCGACCACGGCATGCGTCTGCACCGCCACAAGCAATGGTTATACGAAGGCGGGATCCGCGTTCCGGTGGTCGTGGCCGGTCTCGGCATCCCCGAAGATGCCAGCCGCGACGACTTGATCAGCGGGATCGACATCACCACCACCACCTTGGCCCTGGCCGGCGTCCCCATCCCCGATTACATGGAAGGACGGGACCTGTTCGAGTCAGACCACGAGCCCCGCGAGTTTGTCATCTCCGCCCGCGACCGGTGCGACTTCACCATTGAACGCGTTCGGGCCGTAACCACCGAACGGTACAAATACCTTCGCAACTTCCTCACCGACCGCTCCTTCATGCAGCCGCAATACCGCGACGGCCGCGATTACATGGAAGTGTGCCGTATACTGCACGAGGAAGGAAAACTCTCCCCCGTGCAAGACTTCAAATGGTCGGAGACTCGTGTACCGGAAGAATTCTACGACCTGGTTAACGACCCTCACGAGACCGTGAACCTGGTAGACGATCCAGAGTTCGCCGACGAACTCAACAAACACCGGCAGATCCTGCAAACCTGGATCGAGGAAACCGATGACAAGGGCCAGTACCCCGAATCGATCGACTCCCTCCGCGGTGTGCTCAAAGAACGCGGCGACAAGGCCGTAAACCCCGAATACGACAAGGCCCGCGGGAAATAAAGGTCTCTCCAAAGATCCAGCCAACACCGGGTGGCCCAGCTTCTCGAAGCTGGGTCGCCGCAGGCGACAGGAGGCCCTAAGAGAAAACTCACTAGACTAAAAAACTACCTGCTGGAGTAATCACTCTCCCCACGCACATCCCCAGCAACTTCACTTCCCAGCCAACGGCTCGGGCATCTTCGCCCCCAATTCTTCCTGCCATCGATGCAGTTCATCCAACAACTGCTTCGTCTTCTCCGGATAACTCTCACTCACCTCGTGCTGCTCACCCGGATCATTCGCCAGGTTGTAAAGCTCCACCTTGTCCCAGTGGTAAAACTCGATCAGCTTCCAATCCCCATCCCGAATCGATGCCCCCGGCGTCCAGGTCGAGCCATGGTAATGAGGATAATGCCAGTAAAGTTTCCGCGCGGCCAACTCACCATCGCCACGGAGTAAAGGAACTAAACTCACGCCGTCAACATGCCGCTCAGGCAAGGCTGGCAAGTCGGCCAGGGCCAGCATCGTCGGGAAGAAGTCGGTACTCACCACCGGCGTCTCGCACACCGAACCCGGCGGTGTAATGCCGGGGGCACGCACAATCATCGGTTCGCGTACCCCACCTTCGTACAACCATCCCTTGCCCGATCGCAGTGGTAGATTGCTCGTCGGCCCGGGCGTTCGCGAGGTGCACAGTCCACCGTTATCAGAAAAGAAAAATACGACGGTGTTCTCACTGATGCCGGTCTCGTTCAACTTGGCCAGCACTTGCCCCACGCTGTCGTCCACGGCGGCGATCATCGAAGCGTACGCCGCATTGTCCTGCCGCGCCCGCGATTTGGCCTCATGCTCCTCGATGGCCGGGGTTTCGTCGTCGAAGCGTTCGTCAGCTTCCTGCTTGAACTCTTGGAATCGTTTCCTGTACGGCGTGATCGGTGTGTGCACGTTGTAATAGGAGAGGTACAGCAAGAACGGCCGCTCAGTGTCCCGGTCATCGATGAAACGTAGCGATTCCTCGGTCAGCCTCTCGGTGACGTATTCCTCAGGGCTGTTAGCTTCCAGCGTAGGATTCTTCCACGGGGCGTAATACCCGCCCGGCGGCGAGCCGAACTGATTCCCACCAACGTTCTCGTCGAACCCTTGATCGGTCGGCCATTGCCCTCGGTCACCCAAATGCCACTTGCCGGCAAAGAAGGTCTGGTAGCCGTGCTCCTTCAGGGCTTCGGCCACGGTAACTTCTTCCAAAGCCAGGTTATCGCGATCTTCGACCAAGGCAAACATCGGGTTATCCGCCCGCTCGATATTCATGCCCGGAATCCAGTCGGTAATATCCACCCGCACCGGATGCCGCCCCGTCATAATGCTCGCCCGCGTGGGCGAACATACCGGACAAGCCGCATACGCATTGGTGAACTTCATCCCGGTGTCAGCTAACCCATCGATGTTCGGCGTCTTATAAAACGTGCTCCCAAAACACCCCACATCAGCCCAACCCAAGTCGTCGACCAAAAAGAACACAAAGTTCGGCCGCTGCTTTGAACCATCATCAGCCAATAAAGGCTTCGAGCACTGTTCGCTAGCAGCGATTACAAGTGAGGCCGTTATGCAGAAACAAAACAATGGGCGAAGCATGAGATGCACCTGAAGAAGCGTTCGATGAACCATGATCTCTCGGTTGGTTCAAGGATTGAAATAACCACAACGACACAACGGCACGACAAATCTTCAGAAAAATCAATCTCGCTTGGCAGCAGGAACATCAAACTCGATTACTAGTGCTTGGTTCCTATTACTTTCTCTTTTCGCGAGACACTAGACCATCCACAGCCTCAGATTACCCCGCCGGCAATCTCACAGTGCCGTTGTGCTGTCGCGGTCCCGTCTCACCCTCATCCACTTGCATCCAAGCCCCAAACCCTCCAGCACGCCCCCAAGCAGCACCGCTCAAAACCTATCAACCTCGCGATAGGCCTCAATCACCGCCTGTTCACCTTCCACACCCTCGCCCTGGTTGGCGTGCTCCATGCCGACAATTCCTTGCCAGCTCTTCTCATGGATATGGGCAAACACGTTCCGGTAGTTGATCTCGCCGGTGCCCGGTTCGTACCGCCCCGGGTTGTCGCCGCACTGGAAGTAACCAATCTGATCCCAGCAGCGATCGATGTTCGGGATCAAGTTCCCCTCGCTGATCTGCTGGTGATAAATATCGAACAGAATCTTGCACGATGGTCGATTCACCGCCTCGCAAATCATGTACGCCTGCGGCGCAAGGTGGAGGAACTTCCCCGGGTGATTGGTCAGATGATTCAGCGGTTCCAGCACCATCACCAGCCCGTGCGGTTCGACGATATCGCAGGCCCGCCGCAACAGCTCGATGCAGTTAGCCGTTTGATAGTCCATCGGCAACTTCGGATCGACGTCGCCGAGAATGACCGTCATCCATGTCGCGTTCACCCGTTTGGCCGACTCGACCGCCCCGCTGATCGCATCCAGAATCTCCTGCCGCGCCGCGGCATCATCGCCGGCAAAGCTCACCTTTGCCTTCGCACCACGGGTGGCCGAGATAACGCCCATCTCCATGCCCAGCTTGTCCATCTTGGCCGCTATCTGCTCCTGCTTCCGCACAGGACGGGCCTTCATCCCGTTGTCTTCCCAGGCCATGAAGCCCTGGTCGTAGGCGAACTGCAGTTGGTCCAGCTCGTCGCCGCCGGCCGAGTGCTTGAACATGCCGAAGTGCGGGGCGTACTTCAGCTTGAAGCCCGACCGAGAACGTCGCTCAGCCCAGGCCAGGGCAGGGGAGGCCATCGCAGCGGCGGCCAGCCCCGCGGTCAACGCTTCTCGACGCGTGAAAAGTTCTCGATTCATAACGGTGCTACAGAACCTCCGTAATGCCGGGAACGGGGATCGCGTAGGCACCATTCTCATCCGGCAAAGCCCGAGGCTCGTCGCCCCACGACTCGGCGTCGACGGTCAGTTGCACGTCGGAGTTGAACGCCTCGTCCCACGAAATGAGTTGGCCTGAATAAGTGGCCAGCCGACCCAGAATCGCTGTCATCGTGCTCAGCGCACCATACTCCGCTTCGTTATGCGGCTTGTCGTTGCGAATCGCGTCGAACAGCACATCGTGCTCGGTTTGATAGGGCGAGGTCTGCGGTTGCCCAGAACGGGGACGGCGATACTTCCAACCCTCTCCACCGGCAAACATTTCGATTTCAGCCGTGCGGCCGGTGAGCGTGACCTGCCCCTTGGTACCGGTCGCTTCCTCACCCACGTATCGCCAACAGCCGGGAATCTGCCGGCACTGGCTAATCATCTTCGAACCATCGGCGTATGTGAACTCCACATCGTGGTGATCGAAGATGTTTCCGTATTCTTTACCGGTCCGCACTTGTCGTCCACCGGTACCATGCGCTTCGACCGGATGGGCCTGCTTGATCCAATTGCACACGTCGATGTTGTGGATGTGCTGCTCGCAAATGTGGTCGCCGCTGAGCCAGCAGAAGAAGTACCAATTGCGCACCTGGTACTCCAGCTCCGAAAGCACGCCCCGCGGGAAAGGCGTCTTCGCCGGGAAACCGGTATCCCAGTAACATCGCATCACGCGGATATCGCCGATCGCCCCATCGTGCAGTTGTTCCAGGCACTGCTTGTAACTGTCTTGATGATGCCGCTGCAGGCCGACCCCCACCTTAAGATTCTTCTTTTTCGCTTCTTCAGCGGCGGCCAACACGCGCCGCACGCCGGGGGCGTCGGTCGCCAACGGCTTCTCCATGAAGATGTGCTTGCCCGCGTTGACCGCATACTCCAAGTGCTGCGGACGGAAGCCGGGCGGCTCGGCCAGAATGACCACGTCGACCCCGCTGTCGATCGCCTGCTTGTAAGCGTCGAGCCCTACGAATCGTCGTTCCGGCGGAACATCAATCTGGCTCTTCAGCCCTTCGGCCGAACCCTGACTGACCGACTTCCCATCGGTCAACACTTCGTAGGTCGAGTTGAGCCGATCCTCAAATGCGTCGGCCATGGCCCACAGCTTCACGTTCTCCGACGTGCTCAACGCCTGGGCCGCCGCCCCCGCACCACGTTTGCCCGAACCGACCAGGGCGACTTTCAATACGTCGCTCGCATCGGCATGAACCCCGCGTGGAACCACCAGCGTTCCGGCCAGCGTCGTGCCCACGGCCATCGCCGAAGTGCGGGACAAGAAACTACGTCGCGTGAAACCTTCAACACGTGAGTCGGAATCGGCACTCATGATCTCTCCCCAAATCGACTGGTTCGTCGGCATCCGTCACAAACGATCTCGTTGAGGACGATCGTAGTACGTGTCGGAGAGAGAGTAAAGAAAATGCCCGCGGCGGGTGCGACTATTGGCTCGTTCAGCAGCGTGGATCAACTGAATGAGCAGAAATCTGCGCGAAGTCGACGGTATCGATCATCCATCCTAAGCCGCGAACGCCGGGATGCTGTCGAACAGATCATCCATCAGGCGTTGGCTTTTCCCCCAATCAAACTTCTGCCCAGGGATTTTGATGTTGGTCTCCACCACAGTCGAGCGACCTTGGCGCTGGACGCTCACGCGTAGGTCTCCAGCAAAAGACCAAATCGACGACGGCATGTTGGCGTTCAGGGTGCAGCCATCCTCGGCCTGGTCGACGCTTTGCAGTTCAGTACCGTTCTTGGCCATCGCGCACAGTGCGCCCACCAGAGCTTTCCCGGCCGGCATGCTCAGCCTACGACTAGAAGTCTTGTCCATGTTCAAACCCAGCTTCGAATACAAAGGCCGGGCGAAGTCGATCAGCTTCTCCATCGGAACCCCGGTCGGCACCACTAGGTCGTACATTTTTAGAAACTGCTCGGCCGACATCTGCTTGCGATGCAAGCGGCCCGCCGCGGCGATGCGGTCGCGAACCTCCGGCACGGCAATCAGTATCTCGTAGTTCACCTCGTTCGACCAATCGAGAGGCACCACAGGCGTGGGCTCGGGTGCGGCCTCCACTGCTTGCAGTGCATGCCCGCAGGCGGAGCAGAAATTACCCGAGGCAGGCTTTCCACAGTTTGAACAGAACATGGTGCGAAGTGCTCCGAAGGAGAACAAGAGTCCATCTCCTCTGATTATCGGTCCCAGCCACTGCGAGACTTCATCCCCAAGTGCGGTCTCAAGCCATTGTCCTGAAGGCAATTCCAAACGCTCGGCTACTCCAATTCCTTCAACATATCCGCCATTTTGTCTTCGTATATCTCTTGCCAGGCGGGGGCCAGAATGCACTCGCTGTCTTCCTGGGCGCCGCCTACGTTAAGAAGTTGCTCGGCGGTGGGGGCGTAGTAGATGTATCCGTTCGTGTAGCCCGCGACGAACGTCAGATCTTCTGGCGATCGCTCTTTGATGTTCAGCCCGATCCGCACGGTCAACTCGCCAGGAAAGGTCACCAGCACGAATTGGCCGACCCGCAATCCCACCACTTCCACGTCGATCATCCGGCTCTCGGCCGCCAGGTTATTCGCCTGATGTTTTCGCAGCAGAGCGAGATTCGTCTGGATCCGCGTCAGCTCCTCCATCGTGTGAACATTCTGAATGTACTGCTCAATATTGCGGCGGTTTGTGGCGTCGAGCTTTCGCAAGTTCTCGCGGCCCAGTTGCTCTTCATGCAGGTAGCGGTGCGAATCGTACGAAGGGAACTCTTCCGACAGGTTGTACTTCACCGCCAGCGGAATGAACGACTTCAAATTGAGATACGTCCCCTTGAGTGACTGCAGTAACCGCTGCTGTTCGGCCTCGAGCGCGATGATCCGCTGCGCTACGTCGGCCCGTGGCAACTCAATCACCTCATTGAGCACCTGCAATCGGGCGTCATCCGAGCACTCGATATCCCGCAGCGCTCGCAGCGTGCTCAAGCCCAACAAGTTCCCCAACGGTTCGGCATCGCGAGGGTGATTCACATCCTTATAAAACGCCGGGTTGATATCGCCCGCGCAGCCTTGCAAGAACAGGGCGATCGTTCGCTCGCCGGTGTTCTCCTCGATCGCCTTCGAGGCGAACCCCACCATGTCGGCCGAATTCCCACCGCTGGGCACACCTTGAATTGGATGACAGGCGAAGTTGTAGACCACGGCCAACGTTTCGCCGTCTTCACGATCGAGTCGCAGTATGCCAATCTCCGGATCGATCGGCCCAACCTCGGCCACTTCATCGTCAGGAGGAAGCGAATAAGCGTGGCGTACATCCACTTCCTTGCCGTTCTTCAGTTTCAAACGGCGGTTAACCATGATCCGGTCCTCGTGCCCAACCCCTGCGCCCACCCTCACGGGCACCATTTGCCGCAGAGCCTTCTCGACCGTCTGAAAAGTCCGTTCTTCGATATCTTCACACACCACGCCATGGCAGTGACTGGCATTCACCAACACGCTCTCAGGCCGAATGCCCAACTCCTTCTCGATCCGCCCTCGGACCGTGGCGAGGAACTCATTACGAATCGATCCAATCTCGGCAATCGCCACCGCATCAATCGTGATGATCACCGCCGTCGTCTCGCCGCGCTTCAGTACCAGTGCCTTGGCGTAAAGCGGATCGTTCACCGGGCCGGCCTCGGTGTTGGTGATATCCACCTTCGCCACGCCCGCAGTTAGGCCCTTGGCTTGAACATTCTGCGCAGTGGCAATCCAGCAGACCGCCAACATCATCACGGCGAGGAACAGCACCCGACTGTACCCGCAGATTCGAGTGCCTAAACGGCGACGGCAACAAACGTCCCCTGCACGTGCATATCCAAAGCAGTTCATGGTCATAGCCTAAAACGTGAATGTGAAATAAACTCTTGCCCGCCGGTGATCATGCTAGTTAAGCGGGTGCCTTGAAGCAATTTATGGCAATAACGTACATTCTCAGGTAAGGACCACCTGCGATGGTGCGTCCATGAGATGAACCAAGGCGGGGTGTGGAGCCCAATTCGATGAACAAGCCCGAACCCTCGCCTGACGGCGCTGAGTCCAAGCGACCTGCAGGCTCGCTGTTCAGCCCCCAGAAGCTGCTGGTGCTGGCCATCGTCGTTAGTCTGATCATTATCGCCCTGGTCTTTTTCCGCGACGAACTGAGGCTCGAAAACCTCGCCAACCGCGAGGCCCAACTCAAGCAGCTTCAGGCCGATCACCCGGTGCTAGTCTACGGGGCGGCGTTCGCCATCTATGTCACAGTCACCGGGCTCTCACTTCCCGGGGCCGCCGGCATGACGCTGGTGTATGGCTGGTACTTCGGCTTCCTGCGAGCCCTGGTTTTGGTCAGTTTTGCTTCGACCGCGGGAGCGACGGTAGCATTCCTACTGAGCCGCTACCTGTTCCGCGACGCCATCCAGCAGAAGTTCGGGGAACGCCTGAAGACATTCAACGATGCGCTCGAACGCGAAGGGGCCTTTTACCTGTTCACGTTGCGGCTAATCCCCGCCGTGCCGTTCTTCATCATCAATGTTGTGATGGGGCTGACGAGCCTGCCCACACGCACATTCTGGTGGGTCAGCCAACTCGGCATGCTGGCCGGCACCGTTGTCTATGTCTACGCCGGCTCTCAGGTGCCCGACTTGCAAACGCTTTCTGAAGAAGGGGCAAAGGCCGTTTTCTCGGGCAGTCAACTCTTCCAGATTGGCATCGCCTTCGCGCTGTTGGGGCTGTTCCCCATCACCGTGAAGAAAATCATGCAACGTGTCCGCTCACAGAAGAATCTAGCTCAGCCCACCGTCGAACCGTAACCAGCTCGGGCATCAACCCAATAAGGAACTCATAACGTGGCGCACGCAACCAATAGCCTGCCGCAGCTGGAACCCCGTGACGAACACAATGAGAAACTCCAGCAGAATGTGCACCCGACCGACTGGGTGAACCCCACGCCAAGCGGGCGATACAACCTTGTTGTAATCGGCGCCGGCACGGCAGGCTTGGTCACTGCAGCCGGCGCGGCAGGATTGGGGGCCAAAGTCGCGCTGGTCGAACGCGATCTGATGGGCGGAGATTGCCTCAATGTCGGCTGTGTTCCTTCCAAAGGGCTCATCAGCGCAGCCCGTGTGGCGGCAACCGTTCGCGATGCCGGCGAGTTTGGCGTGGATGTGCCCGAGGGGGTCCAAGTCGATTTCGCAAAGGTCATGCAACGCATGCGGCGGCTGAGGGCCAGCATCAGCCCGAACGATTCTGCCGCCAGGTTTCGCGACCTGGGGGTTGATGTCTTCCTCGGCTCCGCCAAGTTCACCGGCAACGACACAGTCGAAGTCGCCGGCCAGACGCTCAAGTTCAAGAAGGCCGTCATCACGACCGGCGCGCGGGCCGCAGCCCCGCCGATCCCGGGTCTCGACCAAGTCCCTTACCTAACCAACGAGACCGTATTCTCACTGACCGAACTGCCCAAACGTCTCGGCGTCATCGGCGCTGGGCCCATCGGTTGCGAACTCGCCCAGGCGTTTGCCCGTTTCGGCTCGGAAGTTTACCTGGTCGAGTCGGCCGACGAAATCTTACCCCGCGAAGATCAAGACGCGGCCGCCATCGTAAGAGAGAGCCTACTGAAAGACGGCGTGAACCTGCTCTGTTGCGGGCGCGAACTTCAAGTTGCCCTTCAGGGTGATCGAATCCGCCTTCAAGTAACCGCCCACGAAAAAGCCTACGACGTCGAGGTCGATCAATTGCTAGTCGCCGTAGGACGGGCCCCCAATGTCGACGGGCTCGGCCTCGAAGCCGCCGGTGTGGCCTACGACAAGAAGAAGGGAGTCGAAGTCAATGATCGTCTGCAGACGACCAACACGAACATCTACGCTGCAGGCGACATCTGCTCGAAGTATAAGTTCACCCATGCGGCCGACTTCATGGCCCGGCTGGTTATTCAAAACGCCCTGTTCTTCGGCCGAGCCAAAGCCAGCGCATTGACCATTCCTTGGGCCACGTACACCTCGCCCGAAATCGCCCACGTGGGGCTCAGCGAACATGAGGCCCGCGAGCAGAACATCGAGATCGACACCTTCACCCAACCCATGGCCGAAGTAGACCGCGCCATCCTCGAAGGCGAAACCGCCGGGTTCGTGAAAGTTCACGTGGCCAAGGGAACCGACAAAATACTAGGGGCCACCATCGTCGCCACCAACGCCGGCGACATGATCTCTGAAATCACACTCGCCATGAAAGCCGGGTTGGGCCTCAAGACCGTGGGCGCTTCGATTCACCCTTATCCCACGCAAGCCGAAGCTATCCGCAAAGCCGGCGACCTCTACAGCCGCACCCGACTCACCCCGCTGGTGAAGTCGCTCTTCGACAAGTGGCTCTCCTGGACGCGTTGAGTTTACTCCGCACCCAACTCACCCAAGTGTCCGCTTGCATCTAAAAAATCCGCCTGCGGTGCGAACCTTTTTCGGTGCACATCGGCACTTACTGAAACTCTCTCGCCAGGTAAGAAGCCGGGCACTCACTGCGTCCAATTACTGAACGCGGAAACCAATAACAAGAACGATCTGAAGGTGGAGAAACCCCATGGCTCAAAACATCAACGATACGAACTTCGAAGCCGAAGTTCTCCAATCGTCACAACCGGTCCTGGTCGACTTTTGGGCCCCCTGGTGCGGGCCTTGCCGGATGATGACTCCGGTAGTCGAGGAGCTGGCCAGCGAGTTTGAAGGCCGAGCCAAAGTGGTGAAGGTCAACGTCGACGAGTCGCCCCAGTCGGCGGCACGCTACGGGGTGAGCGCCATCCCATCGTTCGCCGTCTTCCAAGGCGGAAACGTCCAAGCTCAGGTCACCGGTGTGGTCGCTAAAGACAAGCTCGCCGAATTGCTCGCCCAGCAGCCAGCTTAAGCAAGTGAAGTATTGAAACTTGCCCAAGAGCCCCACGGCGGAACAGGTGGGGTTCAAGGGCGGGTCTCTTGCCGGGAGGGCAGGGGGGGTTACATTACTGGTGAACGGCAAAACTGCCGGTGGTGATTTACAGCCGTTGTGAACACCTCGCGGTTCGTTGAATAAGGATCTTCGATGTCGACCACCAGCGATGGGGCGCTCTGGATCGCAAGGCTTAAGGCTGGCGGCAATGAACAAGCCGCTGCGCTGGAAGAGCTGCGCGCCATATTGCTGCGTGGGCTACGAAGCACCGTGTCGAAACGCGGAGCCGATCCCGGCTTCAGTGAAGACATTGTCCAGGAAGCGCTGTTGCGAATCCTCGACAACCTCGATTCGTTCGAGGGCCGCAGCAAGTTCACCACCTGGGCCATGACCATCGCCGTACGAACCGCGGTCTCGGAATTGCGCCGCCGGCACTACAAGAACGTGTCGCTCGACGCCACGACCGACGACTCGCTTAAGATCGAACTTCCGGCCGACGGACAGAAGTCGCCCGCCGAACAGGTCGAGCAGCGATCGATCCTTGAACAACTACAAAGGGCCATCGACGACGATCTAACCGAGAAGCAGCGCGTGGTCGTCCGCGGGGCCCTCTCGGGCATCCCCATGGAGGAGATCGCCCGCCGCACGAATAGCAACCGCAACGCCGTCTACAAAGTTTTCCACGACGCGCGACAGCGATTAAAATCGAGCCTGGAAGCGGCCGATTATTCCCTCACGGATATCGAGGCCGCCTTCACCTAGGCGAAAGCAACCATGAAACTCTCATCGGACCAAGTGAAAAAGCTGATATCGGTCGTCGCTCAGACGTCGCCCGATGCATTGGACTGCGATGGTTGCCTTTCGCACGTGGCCGAGTTCGCCGACGCCAAGCTCACCGGCAAGACCACCTGCGAGTCGATGCAGGCCGTGCAAGCCCACCTCGAAAACTGCCCCTGCTGCGAACACGAGTTCCAAATGCTCGTCGAAGCACTCCGAGAGCTAGAAGGTGGCCCCTGCGGGAACCAGCGACCGGTAGACCCGGATTCGATTTAATCGAACCCATTCCAAATTCTGTGGACACACCTAACCCCAAGGGGTCAAACAGCAAAACTCAGGGCATGCGGAGCGTCACCCTGGGTTACTTTCTCGCTTACAGTAAGCCCTGCCTCATCGCTTGCCTTTTGCCGCCGCTTGGGAGGCAACCTGTCCGGCCTTACCTTTCAGTCGTGGTGCGACGATCGAGCCCTCGAAGGCGACGCGGGGATCATTGACATTCACCAACTCGTGCAGCTCGTAGACGTTGCGGTATCCGTAGCCGTATAAGTTGACGTAGGTGGGAATGTTCAACGCCATCATCAGTGGCTTCTCCTGGGATGCGAATTGTTTCGCCACCGGACTGCGCGGTAATGCGACGACTTTGGAAGGGAAGTCGACCTGGTTGCCATCAAAATTGTTGTTGCAGTAAATCAGGACGGTCGTGTCCAAACTGGGAATCACGTTCCTCAAATTCTCCTGCGTGAAGTCGGAGAAGTTCAGATGCCGAGCGCCTCTCAAGTGAATCCGCTCGAATCGCATCGCGGAACGCGAGTCCAGGATCACGACTCCTGGCTCCTTGCTCATCTGCAGGAACGTGTCGAGATCAACAAGACGCTCCGCCCGATGGGCCTCCACTTCGGCCACCAGGTGCTTGAAGTCATCGAAGCTCACCTTCGCATGGGTGTAGCTCCTCTCAGTAGCCAGCGCCACGATGGCCAAAAGCAATACGGCCGCGCCAGACACTGCAGCCAGACTCGATTTCGTCAGCAGTCGGATTCCGAAAGACTCTGTTGTGTTCATCCTTCTCTCCCTTTCCGAACGCCAGCCAGTTAAGTCATGGGAGCCGCACGTCACTAGAAGATGGCATTCCCCCTACCTGGATTTCCCCTATCGATCCTGAGCCGACTGGGCTATGGAGCCTAGTCTCGGCCCAACTTATTTTGACCGGGATTCGCGTCAAACACAAAACTTTCACTCCAGACTCATGGCCAGATACGGTCTTGGAAGTTTCCCAGGGTTGCGCGGCAAAACCGCTGACCGTGGGCTTAGTTGTCAGACCGCTTTGCGGTTATGCGAGGATTGAGCCGGGTGTAAGTCAATCCCTATATGGTGCCCGTACATTTAGTCGGAACTCCCCTCTAATATTTCTTGCGACAGCACATAGCTAAACGCTCCCAGCAACGTGCCGCGCTGAACGTTATGGCAGTCCAAGCACTGCTTAGTGGCTCGCAGGGTACCTAGCATACGAACGCGACCGTGCTCGCCTGCGTCTGAGATGACCACATCTTCCTCCGTCCACAGCTTCGCCAGGGCAGCGGTCTCGAACACGTCCAAATCCCGCGTTGGAATATCCGTGCCCTGCAACTGGTCCATCCGTGGCAGATGATCGAGCACGTAGACCCGCGGAGCATCGAACTTCAGCAGGCTTACCAGCTCTAGCCGCTCGAGTGTCCATACCTCGGGGTTTTCCATGAAACTCAACGGCGGGTAATGAAAGCCATGTTCAATGAAGCCAACCATCTGTTGGCGCGGTTCAATCACAGCCCCAAAGCCATCGGGATGAAGAAAGTCACGACGGCTAGCGGTGTGGAGCTCATCGATTTCATCGCCTTTTGCAAAGTCGTAAGGCATGCGCCAGCCGTACTCCCCGTGACGCGCCAACTCTTGAGGGTCAACGTGATAGCCGATGTCAGTCAGCGGAGTTTCATTCAGCCTCCTTAGTGAGGGCCGGGGCATACGTGCCACACCAAACCCGTTCGAGCGAATGAATCGTTCGTACTCTCTATCGTGAATCAGCCTCAAGAAACGATCTCGATAGTTTCCCATTTCCTCAAGGTGGCTCTCCTCATCAACTAGCCCCTGGAAGACATCGTTCGAAAAGTCGAGATCGTCTTCAGAGCCAACATTGAAACGTTCAACTTCGTAGCTCAAGCGAGAAGAGAGATCTTCAATAGGAAACGTTCTCCTCATTTCATCAAGTTGCCGTCCGTAGGAAAGCCCAGGCAACGCTGCAGCTCCCAAGGCGAGAATCGAACAAACCATTGCAACTACAGTGAGGGTTCTTACCCGATAGCTTGAACGATACGCGCAATAACCTCCCGCTACTAGCAACAGCAAAGCGTCTGCCAGTACAGCAGGAGCGAGCAATAAACCGCCAAGCACGACAAAGGTCCCGACAATCCAAGGAGTGAACCCGCGCCGACTGTCGTCACTGGCTGACCACACAAAGAAGCAGGATAGTATTCCTACCAGGCCGAGTGAGATCCAAAAAAACTCTTGCTCAATCCCAAAGAAAGCCCCAAACCAAGCCAGCACCGCGCAGTATGCCACCAACGCGAAAAGATCCCTGAGCGAAATCCGCATGGCCCACCTCTTTCGTTCCACGGCTTGCCTAGCAGCAAGCCTATCCAATGGGCTGGGTCAAACCGAACTGTTCCAAAGAAGAGCTGCCGTTCGCCATCACAACCGGACGAAGGTTGTCCATTTCGATGGCATCTCTCCGCCACCAGGCTGGCTTCATCCGGCACATATGTGCATTGCAGCCCAGTAGCCTGGGTGCCTCATCGAGCCGAAACGCACACGTCGAACGTTGTATCGCGTTTCATTCGTCATACCCGAAAAACCGGCAGGCGGTCAAAAGAAAAACAAGGTCCGGAAATTGGTTCGCCTACTTACTTTTTCCCAGGCGTGACGAATATTTGCTGAGCCCACCTTTGAGATCGCACCGCCTGAATTCGCTTGTAGAAACCTAATGAATCACTCGCGAAAGGCAGTTTACGGAAATGGCCAGACCGACGATCACCCCCACCGGTCACGAACGCACGTTTCACGAAGATGAAATCATCGTCAGCAAGACCGACCTGAAGGGCATCATCACCTACGCGAACCTTGTGTTTCAGCGAGTCTCAGGCTTTACAGAACAGGAACTGCTCGGCAAGCCGCACAATATCATCCGTCATCCGGACATGCCCCGCTGCGTGTTTAAGTTGCTGTGGGACACCATCGCCCAAGGCAATGAGATCTTCGCCTACGTGGTGAACCTCAGCAAAAACGGCGATCACTATTGGGTCTTCGCCCACGTCACGCCCAGCTTCGATAATCAGGGGAACATCACGGGCTATCACTCGAGCCGTCGCGTGCCAGAAAAGGCGGCCGTCGACCAGGTGGTCCCCATCTACAAAATGCTGCTCGAAAAGGAAGCCTCGTACGCCAACTGGCGCGACGGCATGCAAGCGGCGACCGAAACCCTATTGGAACACCTCGACCAGGCAGGCGTAGCGTACGACGAATTCGTACTCTCCCTTGCGTAGAGACACTCACAAAGGGACGACGAAATGTCTCAGGCAACCCTCACTCGCGAAGCTCCTGCACAAGAAGCTGCCACAACGGCCGCCAACAACCGGCTTCAGCAAGAGCACGAACATCAACAGCAGTGGCTGCAGAAAGCCGCCTCCGTTTGCGATCAGGCAGCTCGCGGCAACCTGGAGGTACGCCTGCTCGACCTCGACGTGCCGGCTGACTCCGACCTTGGTCGGATTCTCAACGGAATCAACTCGCTGCTCGACTACACCGACGCTTTCGTCCGCGAAGCGAAAGCTGTGCTCGATTACGCTGCCCAAGAAAAGTTCTACCGCCGTGTTGCCCTGCGGGGCATGACCGGAACTTTCCGCCAGGCCGCCGAGTTGATTAACGCTGCCTCGGAAGAGATGCAGCAGAAATCTGAAAAGATCGAAAACGCACAGACCCAACGCCTGGCGATGGCCGATTCGTTCGAAGCCACCGTCAAAAAGGTGACCGACTCAGTAGCCAGCACGGCCGAACAGTTGCAACAGACCTCGACGGCTCTCTCCGAAACTGCACGATTGACCTCCGAGCAGTCGAATGCAGCCATGGATATGTCGGCCCAATCGGTTGAAAACGTCCGGCACGTCGCCCAATCGACCGATGAACTACAGAACTCGGTGTCCACGATCGACCTCCGCGTTCAAGAGTCGACCGAGATCGTCCGCAGGGCCGTTTCCGAAGTCGACCAGGCGACCGAGATCATGGCCGAGCTGGATAAGTCATCGACGAACATCGACGCTGTGGTGGAAACGATCGCTGAAATCACCAAGCAAACACAATTGCTGTCACTCAACGCTGCCATCGAAGCCGCACGAGCCGGAGAGGCCGGCCGAGGTTTCTCCATCGTGGCGGCCGAAGTCCGCAAGCTGGCCGAACGCACCCGCGAAGCGACCAAGCAAGTTCAAAACGACATCAGCTTGATTCAATCGTCGACCGCCAACGCGGTGAGTTCGATCAGTCAATTCCGCAACACGGTTGGTGAGATCAACGGCACCAGCGATTCGATCGCCGGCCTGGTGAGCGAGCAGCGCGAGGCGACCGCCAACATTCACGCCAATGTCACCGAGGTGACCCTGCGCAGTGAAAGCGTGAACGACAGTATCCAGCAAGCCTCGACCGCGGCGAACGAAACCACCGACGCCACGGCGCAGTTGCTCGAATCGTCGGGCGAACTCTCCGCTCAGGCGAAGATGCTCTCCGAAGGTGTCGAAGAAATGCTGCAGGCCATTCGCTCGCAAGAGTAGATTGCGGTTCCCGTCAACCACGAATTCCCCTGAATTCGTTGAGCTGAATCAGTACCACTACATCATTGCTTTCCCATAGAATCCGCCAATGAGCGTCCCCAGCGTGGCGCTCCCGACCGCAATCTTTACGCGAGCCTTTATGGGCATCGGAGGCTGATGAGTACGGTACCAAACGCCCAACAGCAAGAAGAACGCATTGGCCTGCAGCGCCGGATAGAGGATCGCGGGAAACAATAAACATATAAAGGGCATGGCGAAAAACACTCCGACAATTAGTGTCTCTCGCGTCAAGCAAACGAAAGCAACTGATAGCCATCCTGAAACAACGGCCCAGACGACGAAGTAAGGAAAAATCGTGTCGACGGGTGTGATTTACCTGCCGTACCAAGCTACTAGAGCGAAGACAGCGACAAGAGCAAACATCTCCACAAGTGAGATTCGCATCACGTGCCTCCATCATCAGCACGCACTAGCAAGTTGGTCATGTTTGTAGAGGAAGGACTTGTGTCATCAATCTCCTCAGTCGACCTTACGTTGCGACCCCAACTACTTCAGCTTATCCGCAAACACCTTCTCGAGCTTGTCGACCTTCGGCTGAATCACGTACTGGCAATACGGCTGACGTGAGTTCAGGTTGAAGTAGTTCTGGTGATCGGCCTCGGCCGCGTAGTAGTTCGTGTAGGGGCTAATCTCGGTCACTACAGGAGCATTGAAAACCCCGGCCTCATCGATAGCCTTCAAGTATTGCTCGGCCAGCTCGCGTTGGCGGTCGTTGTGGTAGAAGATCACCGAACGATACTGCGGCCCCACGTCGTTCCCCTGTTGGTTCGGGGTCGTTGGATCGTGGGTGCGCCAGAAGACTTCGAGCAACTCGGCAAACGAGACAACGCTCGGGTCATACTTCACTTGCACCACTTCGGCATGTCCTGTGGTGCCGCTGCACACAGCGTAATACGTCGGGTTCTCAACATGCCCACCGGCGTAACCCGAGGCCACCGATTCCACGCCGTCCAGCCGCTGAAACACCGCTTCGGTGCACCAGAAACAGCCTGAACCGAAGGTGGCCGTTTCCAGCCCATCGCCTTCTTCGGTCTTAGGGCCTAGCACCGACACATCGAGTTTCGGAAAACCGCTGCTACCCATCGAAATACTCGCCTCCGCATTTGGCCCACGTTGCAGCAGTGCCCACGCTCCAAAGACAATTGCCGCGAACACCCCGACAATCAGCAGCGCTTGCACCGCGTAGGTTGCATATCCAACACGCATCACTTTGGTCCCATCTCTGCGTACCTCGTCACTCTACACTCTCTTATTCTACGATCTTGGCAACCAATCGTTCAGTCCCCCACCAAGCCAATTCGGTGTACCGCACCCCTAAATCGGCTTTTCATACAAGAAAGGCGTGAGCCGGCTTCGGAGAATTTCCGCGGCAACCCGATTTCCCTCGGCGTTCCAGTGGTAATCGCAATCGAAGAAATAACGCTGCCAGTTCGCATTGGCCTTCGCCATGGGCGGCAGAAGGTCAACCACCAATATATTCCGCTGTTCTGCCCAGGCTTCAAGTCGCGACGCCAACAGCGTAGGCTCGGGCTGCTTCTCGAATCGCACGAAGTCCCACTGCGAAGGCAGCAGCACCACCGCGATGGGGCGATTACCTGCGGTGGACTCGATTCGCTCTAAACACTCCTTCAACAGATCGAACTGCTCCTGGCTGAAATCGAAGAAATAAGAATGCGGAAGCCCTTGGTCATTATTTACCGGAGGTGCATAGACATCATCGCCTTCAGGGTCACGGGCCTGAGCATGCACCAGCGCAATCGCATGGTAAGCATACGAGTACCGTCGCAGGAAACGGTGCACCGCCGGCTCTCGATAATCGACGTGCTGAAATCCATGCTCGCCCGGCACAAGATAGGGCCGATAGCGGTAGTCATATGAGCGGGCTCGTTGCGCCTGTTGAAAGTCGAGATCCACGAAATCATTCACCGGTAGTATTCCGACAATCACCGCCGAATGTTCGAATTGAGGTGCGAATTCCTGATACGCCAGATACTCCTGATATGGCCCAAAGTGTGACATGCCAAAATTGAGGTGTTCAACGCCGGTCGTTGCTTCGAGCCGGTTTGAAAACCGATCCTTCGCAGCCACCCCCCAACCTTCCACGAACGAATCCCCCATCACGAACACGCGTGGGCCAGCACTCGCCGGCGAGCGTTCCACATCTCGGGCCCCGACCGAGTTGGTCTCATACGTGGTGGTGAAGCAATCCGACGATTGCAGAGCAGCAGCCTGCGGCTGGTGCCACACTCCAAATACCGGATGATCAGCATCCCAGAAGCTGTCGACGCGGTGGGGGGCCAACTTGGGCATGCGACCTAAAGCAACAAGACCCCGCACCGAGACTTCCAGCAGCGTCAACGCGACCAGGCACGATGCAAAAAGAACTGCGAGACGGAAGCCCCATTTTCGACGAGCATTCCTGCCTGCATGTCCCGACGATCGCGTCTGGAGCGACGAATGCTCATCAGGCTCGACGTCAGATCGTGAAGAATTCATATCCCGCCCGTAGAAGAATGCCTTAAATCTTCGATCTAAATGCTAAATCATTCGCGACGTTTCTTGGATCGAAACGACGATCACAATCTATCCGATGGTCAATCGCTTGCGATCGTATTCTCTAGCAATTCTAATGATTGCATGCCTTCTAGAAGGACGGAAAGCCTTACCGTTCTGCTCGGCTTTCTAGACCTCCTGAATTCTCAGGCATCCTCTCTGGGCGGAATGCCCGGCATGGCATCGGAGTGTTCGTTTTGGCTACAGCAATTCAAGCAGGATCAATCTTGCCCGGGCGTTTGCTCGGCCGCACGTTCGTAAGCCCGCTTTTCGATTACTTGATTATCGGCGGCGGAGTTAGTTTGGTGGTGACCGCGATCGTCGCCACAGCGGCCGGCGGTGCCGACTTGATCAGCCTCGATACGCTCCCGTACTTCATCCTGCTCAGCAACAGTGCCCACTTCGCAGCCTCAACGTTGCGGCTGTACACGAAAGAGGGCTCCTTTCAAAGCCTGCCCTTCTTGACCATGGCGTTCCCTCTGGTCGCTCTCGGGCTCTTAACCCTCTGCATCTTCTATGCGGGCGAGTTGGGCACCCCTCTGCAGGCACTTTACCTTGCCTGGTCGCCTTATCATTATTCTGCTCAGGCCTACGGGCTGGCGGTCATGTACAGCTATCGCTCGGGCTGCTTTCTCGAGCCACGCGGAAAACACTTGCTGTGGTATGCCGCGATGCTGCCGTTTGTCTTCGCCCTGTTTTCTCCCAATGGGGTCGCCCTTAACATGGTGGCGCCCGATTGGATCATGCATCACTGGGCCATCAGTGCCTTCTTAACGACGGTCAATCAGGTACTGCCATGGGTCGCAGTGGCCGCCGTCATCGGGTTGGTTTATTACATCTGGCAATCGCCGAGCGGCCCGATGCCGATCATCAGCGTCATGATGCTGGTAAGCAACGGTGCGTGGTTTTTTATTCTTGGCCCGCTACAAGCCTTTGCCTATGCCACCATTTTTCATGGGCTGCAGTACCTGGCGATCGTGATCATCTTTCATGTCAAAGAACAAAACGCCCGGCCCGACAATCGCCATTCCACGCTGTACCACGTCGTGTGGTTCTACGGAATCTGCCTGCTGATTGGCTACGGGCTCTTCAACTGCATGCCCCTGGCGTACGTTTGGGCTGGTTTTGGCATGGTCGAAAGCGTGCTTCTCGTTGCAGCCATGATCAACATCCACCACTTCATCGTCGATGCTTACATTTGGCGATTGCGAAAGACGGACTCGAACCGAACTGTCGTCGAGAGTGCTCCCGCTTAGCAGCCCCTATTGTTCACCTAGACGATGTCCAACTTCTCGTACCGAACTGCGTTCTGCATTGGCACACTGCTCACCGTGCTTGCGGTTTGCGTTGGTATCTACTACGAAATCCACCTCACTGGACACCTACCAGGGATAACGCAGGACTACGGCAAGGGAATCGACGACCTCGTCTCCTCCGGCGAGTACGAACAAGCATTACCGCAGCTTCAAATGGCGCTGTTGCTCGACGATGCGAACGACCCCGAGGTCTTGCGCCTGCTGGGCGATTCCTATTCTGCCCTCGGCAACAGCAAAGAGGCCGTTCGCCATTACGAACAGGCGCTCGGCTACGAACCAGAAAGCCCTCTCCTGCATTATCGCCTGGCCCTCGCGTTCGAAGCTGACGGAGATCCCCAACAGGCGCTCGAGCACCTGCGCCGCTCGGCCGAACTGGCACCGGACAACGCAGACACTCAAGGCCGACTGGGCATTCTCCTTCATAAACAGGGGCAGTTATCCGCGGCTGCGACGGCGTATCGTCGCGCGCTGCAAATCAACGAAAACCTCCCTCAAGTGGCCAACAACCTGGCCTGGCTGCTAGCAACCAGCCAAGACGAGTCGATCAGGAATCCCACTGAAGCCCTGCATTGGGCGACAGTGCGCGCCGAAGCGAGCGATTTCAGCGAGCCCTCGGCGTTGGACACGCTGGCGGCTGCCTACGCGGCAAACGCGCAGTTCGGCGAAGCAGTCCGCTGGGAACAAAGAGCCATTGAACTGGCCTCCAGTGATGCGAAGGCAGCAATGCAGAAACGGCTCGCGCTCTACCAGGCCGGCAGTCCTTACCGCCAGCCGTAGTCCGGTCGGCATTGCCTGGCGATGCTCTTCCGATTTACCCGCACCGAAAGCCAAGCGCCTGAGTCGCTCTTGCGCTAGATCGCCCCCTTGGCTAAAATGCTCACATGCTTGGAGCACTCACCTCTCGCCGAACATTTGTCGACGTAGATGAGAATGTTTGGCTTGTACTGGGGGTGATTTTTCTCTCACTGTGCATCGGCACGGTGATCCGTCTGATCGCTTACGCCCGTGCAGAGCAACCCAAAGACAAGGTCCGGCAGCGGCTTCGCAGCTTGACCACGTGGTGGGGGCTCGTCGGGTTGCTGTTGGCCGTCGTCCTGTTGGGCCTGCCCGCCGCCATCGTGCTTTTCGTCTTCGCCAGTTTGCAGGGGCTGCAAGAGTATCGACGGCTGGTCCATTCGCGGGTCACCAACGAGCGACTCTGGGGCTGGGCCTTTCTCGCGATTCCCGTCCATTATGGAATCGCATCCCTGGGCGTCTCCTGGCTATTTTTCACCTACATCCCCGTGTGGGTGTTCGTCATTATCATGATCAGCCAAGTGTTGGTGGGCAGAACAAGCGAATTCCTCGAGCAGGCGGGCAACGTCTTCCTGGGCCTGATGCTCATCGTGTTTCTGCTGTCCCATGCGGCTCTACTCATGACCTTACCAAAAGATGCCCTTTTTCCGGCCGGGGTGGTGGGACTGTTCGTCTATTTGATCGTCCTCACCGAATCGAACGACATCGCCCAAGCAATCTGGGGTCGCCGATTCGGCCGCAGGAAAATCGTCCCCCGCGTTTCACCCAACAAAACCTGGGAAGGGCTGCTTCTGGGAGCGAGCACCACGATAGCCCTGGCCGTGTTGCTGGCTCCGCTGCTCACGCCGTTTGTCGATATCCCCGAAAAGGTTCACACCTTCGGTTTGACCATTCCCTACCTCCCGGCAGTCGTTGTCGGAGCACTCATCGCCGGCGGTGGGTTCTTCGGCGATATCACCATCTCCGCCATCAAGCGCGAAGTGGGCGTGAAAGACAGCGGTACATTGCTGCCAGGGCAGGGGGGCATGCTCGATCGGGTCGATAGCCTCACCTTCACGGCTCCACTGTTCTTCTACTTCACTTATTCGCTATACGTTTAAACGGTCCCAATCTCGCTGTGACATCATCACCCACCGACAAGCAATTGCAAAGCGAAGGCAGCGAACAAAACAAATCGCTGTTCAACGTTCCTAACACGCTGTGCACCATCCGGCTGGTTGGGTCGCTGGTGATGCTCGCCCTGACGTGGACCGACCTGAGCAGCGGATATTTTCTGGCGATGATCATCTTCCTCCAGTCGACCGACTGGGTCGACGGCAAGCTGGCGATCCTGCTCAAACAGCAAACCAGCTTTGGCGCCAAGCTCGACAGCGTGGCCGATGCCACCTTCTACGGCTCCACACTGCTGGTCACCTGGTGGCTCAAGGGCGATGTACTCCAGCAGGAATGGCCCTGGATCGCCGCTGCCCTGGGGGCCTACGCGCTGAACATGGCTGCCGCGTTCGCCAAGTTCCATCGACTGCCCGCCTATCACACCCGGATGGCCAAGACGGGGTGGCTGCTGATCAGCATCGCCATCATTGCCGTCTACACCGATTGGTCCATCTGGCCGCTGCGCATTGCCACGGCCGCGGTCTGTATTACAAATCTGGAACAAACGGTAATCACGTTCGCCCTGCTAAGTCCGCACGTCGATATCCCTTCGCTGTACCATGCATTCAAGATTCGAAGAGAACAACAGAAAACCGACGCGGCAACGTCGGCCAGTTGATTGCCAGTGCCTGGCTTGAGTTTCGCAGTGTTTCCCTCATGCACGATGTGTGCACAATAGGAAGACGCTCACCCCAGGGCATACTACGAAATCGATCCACGACGGATAGCTAAATCTACAATGCTCACGCTGTTACACGTATCCGACCTTCACTTCGGCCCTCCATTTTCTCCGCAGGTGGGGGCCGCGGTCCTCCGCAGCGCGCACGATCTTTCCCCCGATGCGGTCGTGGTCAGCGGCGACTTCACGCAACGCGCCCGACGTGAACAGTTCGCCGAAGCTCGCGAGTTCATCGACAAGTTTCCCGACGTACCCAAGATTGTCGTGCCGGGCAATCACGATGTACCGTTGTATCGGGTAGGGGAACGCTTTTTCGATCCGCATGCGTTGTACCGTGAGTACATTCAGGAAGACTTGAATCGCGTCTGGCATCTCGACAAGGCCGTCATCGCGGCCATCGATTCCACGGCTCCCCGTCGGGCCATTTCCAACGGCCGCATCACGAACGAAACACTCGACTTTTGCGAAGAAGCCTTCAGCAATGTGCCCGATGGCCATGTGAAAATCGTGGTGGCCCACCACCACTTCATCCCTGCCCCTGACTACGTACACGACCAGACCATGCCCAAGGCAAAACGCGCGATGAATCGCTTCATCGATCTGGGCGTGGAGATGATCCTCGGCGGTCATTTGCACCGCGCATACATCGGCAACTCGTTGGACATCTATCCGGGTAAGCATCGGGAACGCGGTGCCATCGTCGTCCAGTGTGGAACCACCACCTCGCGTCGCGGACGAGGTCGCGAGCGGCAGAAGAACTCGTTCAATCTCATCAAGATCGGCGAGAGCATGCTGCGCGTGACGCACTACATGTACTTCGAAAACCTCGAACGCTTCTCACCCGTGAGTCGCCACATCTTCCCTCGCCCCGGCCAACCCTTCGTCGAAGGCATCTTGCACGAATCGGACTGAGGGAAGCACTTACGACTGTAAATCTGTCTTGTGTGCCCCCGGCATGTACTTCTGCACGAGCCACCGCATCACCAGCGGTAACACACTTAAGGCTACAAATGCGGCAATGATCCCGGGGGTGATGAAGCTGGCGAGCCCGTCTTCGGAGATCTTCTCAATCGAGGGAATCTGTGTGCCTGCGTAAATGAAGATGATATTCCCCGGCAGCAACCCGAGCTGCGTCGACCACCAGAAGCCAAACGAACTGATACTGGTAGCCCCCATCACGTAGTTTGTCACGCTATAAGGGCTATGCAGCACGCGCAGGGTGAATAAATAGAAGGCCCCCTCGCGGCGGATCGCATCATCAATGCGCAACAGACTCGCCCCGGCCCGCGATAGCACCGCCTCGCGAAACACGTACCGGCTCAGCCAGAAGGTGAGCATAGCCACGATGGTCAGGGCAATGTTCACCTGGATCAGCCCCTGCCAGAAGCCAAACAACCAGGCGATGATGAACGACTTCCCCGTGGTGCCGGGTACAAAACAAATCACCAGGTACGAAAAAAACCCGGCAAAAAAACCCAGCACGGGGTTCGACTGTAGCCACTGGCGAACGTTCTTCTCCTGCTCGACTAACAGATCAACCGTGACGTACTGCCGGTACAGCACGAGCAGAGTCACTACGACGGCCACAAATGCGAGAAGAACAAGTAGCCGGTACTTCATACGATTTGGCTCACACGGCCATGTCCACCCGATGAGTTGCGGTAAGACTTAAACAACATCCACCGCCAGCGACTTGAGATCGTCCAAATCGACAAACTCCAAGCTAGAAATATGCGTGGCAGCCAACACAACACGCGGGGCCATTCCCGCCTCGAACGCCTCTTTCCACCGTTCCACACACAGGCACCAACGATCGCCCGGCTTTAACCCCGGAAAGCCAAACTCGGAAATCGGCGTCACGAGATCGTTCCCACGCTTCACCGAGAATGCCAAGAACTCTTCGTTCATTTCGGCGCACACGAGATGCAGACCCACATCGCCCGAACCGGAGTTGCAGCACCCATCCCGCATGAACCCCGTCAACGGATCTGCGCTGCACAGTTCAAGCTCGGTCCCCAAGACATTCTTCGCGGTCGGCATCGTGATACTCCCAAGGATCGGTGAAGTGCTGGACGTGGTGCGTCCATATTCTTACACGATTCCACCGAATTGTCAGGGCGTCGTTCCCTGGGACTTCGCAATCTCCGAAAACTCGCGTAAAGCTATTCAGATTATCGCTCGCGATGTTCACCCGCGTAGATCGTTCGACCGCCGTCGACTGGTAGAGCCACCCCCGTAACGAACTTATTGGCGATAAAAAACTGCACAGCCTGAGAAATACTCTCAGGACAGTTCGCCTTCTTCACCAGGGTCGAATCGACCATCTCCTGCTGTTCCTGCTCAGAAGTTCCCGGCGGAAACATCACCGGCCCCGGATGAATGCAGTTAACCCGCACGTTGGGGTTCCGCTGGGCCAGCTCGACAGCCAGCGTTCGCGTCAACGTCGGAATCGCCCCCTTCGACACGAAATAGGCACTGTGATTGGGGTACGGACGTTCGATGGCCCAATCACCAATCGTGATGATGCTCCCACCTTCGGTTTGGTCGACCATCAGCAACCCGGCCTGCTTCGCACACAGGAAGGTGCCCAAGGTGTTCACCTCGAAGTTGTGACGCAGGTCTTCCGCCGTCGTTTCCTCAAGCGGCGCGTCTTGCCAGATCGAAGCCGTGGTGACCAGCACATCCAACCGGCCGAAACGCTCGCGAACACCGTCGACCATGCGGTGCACATCGTCTTCATCTGCCACGTTCGCCTTGAAGGCTTCGCAGTCGACCCCTCTGGCACGCAGCTCCTCGATCGTCTTTGCCGCTTCTTCATCCGAAGAGTGGTAGTGCAGCGCAATCGAGTATCCGTGCTCCGCCAGATCGTTCGCCACCAAGTTCCCGATCCGCTCGCGACCACTTCCGGTGATCAGGGCCACTTTTTCCGTACCGCTCATGTATCGACCGCCTTCCAACTGGTATCCGACGTATTCGTTCACGTCATTCTACCGAGAAGGCAACCGGCCAGGCGAGTAGGGGCTAGGGCGAACATAGAGATCGATAAGTCGAAGTCCGCTGGCTTACCTCAAAAACGTCTGCTGAGGTTGCGCCGCGGGAGGAACGGCCGCCCGAGGCTGCGGGACTGGGAACCCACGTCGCACCATGGGGCCACGCTCGCCGGTGATGAACTGCCGGCGGAACGCCTCTAACACCCCCTTGCTCGAAGCTTGAGCGATCGCACCGTTAAGACGCGTAACCAGATCGGTTTCGGTCTTCGCCACCGCGATGCCATAGGCCTCTTGTCGAACCCCGGTGTAGGTCGACGGAAAATCATGCTCGCGGAAAGGAATCACCGCGGCCGGAATTTGCAACCGCCGCACTTGGCTTTGAGCAAAATCGAAGTCGGTGATCACCGCATCGACCTGCCGACGGATCAACTCTTCGAATGCCACTTCTGGCGTTTCGACACGATGCAAGTTGGCATGTTCGGTGAACGCCTCGCCCACGGTCTCGCTCGAAGTGCCCGTTTGCACAGCGATCCGTCGCCCCCGCAGTTGCATCGGGCTGCGAACACCGCTATCGCGAAACACCACGCAAGCCTGAGACGTCTTATAGTACGGCTGCGTGAACTTCAGCCCGTACTCTTCTTCGCGCTCGGGCGTGATGGTGATCGTCGAAATGATGAAATCCACTTCATTTCGACGCACCGAATCGAGCAGGCGATTCCAGTTGTAGGCCATAAACACCGGCCGCACATTGGGGCTCTCAGGAAAGAGCAGGGGGGCCAACCAACGAGTCAGCTCGATGTCGTATCCGGTCAGATTTCCGCGCTCCTTGTCGAAGTAGGCAAACTCTCCTTCGACCGAACACGCAACGCCCACCCGAATCACACCCGTACTGCGAATGCGATCGATGCTGTTCTCATACAGCTCGAAGTAACCGACATCGCTGGTGGCCAGCACATTGTCGCTACCATCCACCGCCTCCACCCGCCAATACACCGGGCCATGCTGAAAGTCCGGCGGAAGTTCCATCTTCGCCAGCCGCGTTGTGCCCTGCATCGCGCGTTCGCTACTGAAGTCTCGCTTGCGATCGTAATGCACGCGATAGGTCACTTCCCCAAGGTCATAGCCTTCAAACCGCCACTCCAACTGCACCGAAGGGGAGAACACCACTGTGGGCTGTTCACCAGACAGCGAGAAGGGGCTGGTCAAGCTGATCCGCCGCAACCGCATCGGCTGCAATTGCGTCATCATCTGACGGCCCTGCGGAGTATCGAGCGTGGCAAAGAGGTTGTACAACTTCTCGAACGTAACAACCTGGTTGGCATAGTTGCTCAACATCTCTTCGAGACGCTTCTCGCGATCGACTCTCAGTTCGCGCTTGGCATTGATGAATCGACTTTCGAGCTGCTCGAACTGCTCGGCAAGTTTTCTGGCTTTGGTTTCCAAGCTCTGCCGGGCATCTTCAACATGCCGCACCGAGTCTTCGGTGTTGACCAACTTTTCGTCGAGCCGGTCGAATTGGGCAATGCGGTGCTGTGCCAGGCGAATGTTATCCTGCACTTCGTCCAACACCTGTTCCGATTGCTTCAGCTTCTCCTCGGTCGACTCCAACACCGGTGCGGTGGCAACCTGGACATGGTCCGCGACCATATCTTCCAGCACATCCTGAAACCGCATGGTCCCCAACAGCGTGACCAACATGATGCCGGCGACCGACCCCATACCAATTCGGGCGATCCACTTCTTGATGTCGAACACAACATCCTGCAACACTTCGCGGCGGGCGAATTGGAACACACGATCGTCCAAGTCCTCGCGAGGAGGCGAAAGGTATTCATGGCACCGCCAACACTTCCGCGCGTGCACGCTGATGGTTTCGTTGCAGTAGGGGCACTGCCGCGACTGATCTTCTGGCAGATCCTGGCTCGCAGCGTGCTGCTCTTCAGGGGTCTGCTTCAATACGTGCAGTGTCGTCTTCTTGGGGAGACTCTCCATGGCCGCCTTCCTTGGCATTGGCAATGGTAAAGCTGTCATTAGCGCAAAGAATATCGCGCCTCACTCATCCCTCGTCGGCGTGGTATGCCCCCATACTTGCGAAGAAAACCCTTCAGCTTTACTTATCGATGTCGAAGTGCCATGCGGTTGTGTAATCTGAAGCATTCGCCGAGTGGACCTGACTCCGTAAGAGCACACAGCTTCTACTGCAATCTGTCGCTTCGCTCGCGCAGTCTCCCGCTAGGTGATGGGCCGAATTCTTCCCAGGCAGGGGCCCCCACATGTGTCCTACTCAAACGAAAAGCAGGGTGCAGAAAACTAAGTGCCCGGCTGGATTTAGCTCCGTTCCTTCCCCTCCAGCGAAGCAATACGCGGCAAAAAACGCCCTTTTCGCCCTCTAACGTCACCTTGTGAAACTTTGAGGGTTGTTCCACCTGGGTCGTCCACATGGTCCACGGAATGCACGGCCGGTTTGCAGAACGATCGGGTGTTGCGGCGCAGGCGCAAAATTCGAAATCCTCTCATTACGCATACCGAAAAGGTATGCAGCGGCTCGTATATCCGTTACACGCGGCGCACTGGTTGCAATGCATTCAAACGGGCGAGAACCTCGGGCTGCCAACTCACGCTAATCCTTCCCATTCGGACAAACGACCTGTCAGCGTGATCGCCACAAGGATGTGGCGCCCATCATCCGGCAGGGGCAAGAACACAGATTGTGCTGGCAAAGGAGTGCATCATGTCACGCTGTTCCACTTGGTGGACTACGATCCTCGCGGCCTTACTCGTGTTGGCTACCTCCAACACACAGGGTGTGGCACAAGAGGAGCTCGAGTTCATCCCTGCCGAACAAGCCGCCGAAGGCGACACCGAGAATGTCCGAACTTTGGACATCATTCGCGAACGTTATCCCGACGGGTCGGTGAAGATCGAGCGAGAAGTCACCCAGGATGCCAAAGAGAACTACATCAACCACGGCAAGTGGAAGATGTACAACCAACGCGGCACCGTGCTGGCCGAAGGGCAGTACGTGAACGACCAACGCGATGGAACCTGGGTCCGCTTCTACCGTGGCGACGAGTCGAAGCTGTTTTCCGAAATGCCCTACAAGCAGTTCAAAGGGCCCTTCGTCTCGCAAGCCACCTTCAAAGAAGGCAAACTGGACGGCACCTGGAAGATCTACGACTCGACTCAACACAAGATCAGCGAGTTCTCGATGGCCGATGGCCTTCGTGATGGCAAATCCACCTGGTGGTTCGCCAACGGCGAGAAGATGCGCGAGATCGACTACAAAGAAGGCCTGATCGACGGCCAACTCGTCGAGTGGGCTCCCGACAAACGAGTCGTCACCAACAGCACCTACCAAGAAGGCCGCAAGCTGGCCGCCAAGGTCTCCAAATACAAGAGTGGTGCCGTTGAGACCGAAGGGATGTACCTGCACGCCAAGCTTGTCTTGGAAACACCCGACAACTGGTGGGACGCCACCGTGGCCGTCTCCGTGGCCACCGGTCACGACGAACGACACGGCCCCTGGAAGTCGTGGCACCCCAACGGGCAAGAGCACGTCTCGGGCCAGTACGAGCACGACATTCCAGTTGGCACCTTCACCTGGTGGTATCAAACCGGCCAGAAGGCCCTGGTCGGCACCTACGAAGAAGGCCAACGTCACGGCTTCTGGGATTGGTGGCACCCCAACGGACAGAAGGCCACTTACGCCGAGTACCGCAACGATCAACCGGTTGGTCGCTGGTTGTGGTGGAATGAAGACGGCAAGGTAGCCGAAATCGCCAACCTCGACGAAGGCACCGGCCAATCGTTCCGCGACCCCGCGGAAGACGTCGCCCAAAAGCCTGAAGCCCCGGGCAAAGAACCCGAGATGCTGAAACTGCGACGCTGAGCGTCCCTTCTTCAGAGTTCGAATGATTGCCAGCCACCACTGCTGGGCAGCGAATTCGTTGCCCAGCAGTTGGCGTTTTATGGTCGAACAAATTCAGTACAAGCCAGCAACCCCGTAGCTTCGGCTCACTCTGGGTGAGCCCCTCTCGCGGCTTCTCCGCACTCGGTCACGCGATATACTCTCGGTGTGCCTGCCAAGGTGCTTTCGATCAAATCTCGGGTGGAACCTCTTGGTGTCGAGGCACAATAAGATTGGCCACTAACGCACCGGGAACAGATTCCATGCATTCTGAAAAGCTAACCTTCACCAGCGACGAAGGTCTCCAACTCGCAGGTCGACTGGAACTGCCGATCGGCCCGCCGAAGGCCTACGCCATCTTCGCGCACTGCTTCACCTGTTCGAAGAACTCGAATGCCGCTACCCGGATCAGTCGCAAGCTCACCGACGATGGGTTCGCTGTGCTCCGCTTCGATTTCACCGGCCTCGGCTCTAGCGAAGGCGATTTCTCCAACACCAACTTCTCCTCAAATATCCGCGACATTGTAGCCGCCGCAAATCACCTGCGAGAACATCACGCCGCCCCACAACTCCTCATCGGGCATAGCCTGGGAGGAACCGCCGTGCTGGCCGCCTCGAATTCCATCGAGGAAGTCGAAGCTGTCGTCACCATTGGCTCTCCGGCGTCTCCCTCACATCTACTCCAGTTACTCGAAGGGACATGCGAAATACTGAAAACAGAAGGTCAGGCCCCGGTGAAAATCGGCGGGCAATCCTTCACCATCAAACAACAGTTCATCAACGATCTCGAGGCCTCCCAAGTCGAGCATCCCGCCATCGGAGCCAGCTTGCTGGTGATGCACTCGCCGCTGGACGAAGTGGTAGAGATCGATCAGGCCCGGCAAATCTACGCCGCCGCCCGGGGTTTCAAGAGCTTCGTCACCCTGGCCGACGCCGACCATTTGCTTACCAAGCGGGTCGACTCCGATTATGCTGCCAATATCGTGGGTGCTTGGGCCTCACGTTACGTCACCGACCAGCGTCCCGTCCGCGTCACGCCGAAGGAAGGAACGGTATTGGTCGAAGAGTGGCAACTGCCCTACACCAACCGCGTGGCGGCCCGTAGTCATTCGTTTCTCGCCGACGAGCCCACCTCGGTCGACGGCCTCGACGCCGGCCCCAACCCTTACGAACTGCTGCTGGCCGCCCTGGGCACTTGCACTTCGATGACCATCCGCATGTACGCCCAACGCAAAAACTGGCCGCTGGAAAAAGTCTCGGTGCAGCTCAAGCATGAAAAAGTTCATGCCGAGGATTGCGCCGATTGTGAAAGCGATAACTCAAAGATTGACCGCTTCGAACGGGTGATTGATATTAGGGGAGACCGCCTCAGCGAAGAACAGCGAGAGCGGTTGCTCGAAATTGCCGATCGCTGTCCGGTGCATCGTACTCTGATGAACGAGAAAGAGATTGTGACCACGTTGGCCAACGTCGAGGCCACGTAGTCAACCCGTGAACGAAAGACATTGCCCCTATGCGTAGCTTCGCTCTCGTCGTCTTGATCACACTTGCTTTCGTCTCCACCGCTGCTGCGGCCGAAAAGCCCAATGTGTTGTTTATCGCCATCGACGACTTGAACGATTGGGTCGGCTGCCTCGAAGGTCATCCACAGTCACTCACGCCGAACATCGATCGCTTTGCCGACCGAGGCGTTTCGTTCCGCAATGCCCATTGCCAGGCCCCCGTCTGCCAACCATCGCGAGCCAGCCTGATGGTGTCGCGGTTGCCCTCTTCCACAGGGCTCTATTTTCTCGACCCCGGCCTACAAGACTCAGATGTTACGCGCAACGAAGTTACGCTCCCCGAGGCCATCGCTAAAGCGGGCTATCAGGTAATGGGCGGCGGCAAGCTGTTCCACAGTGTCGATAACAAACGCGTCTTTGATGGCGTGGGCGAGTACGGAGGCAACTTCGGCGGAGTCGGCCCCCGAGCGAAAGAAAAAATCAGCCAACCGCACGGGCACCCGTTGTGGGACTGGGGAGCCTACCCCGAGAAGACAACCGAGATGCCCGACTATAAGCTGGCCACCTGGGCCGAACAGAAATTGGCCGACGACTACGAGAAGCCGTACTTCCTGGCGGTTGGTTTCCACCGCCCACACGTGCCAATGTATGCACCACAAGAATGGTACGACATGCACCCCCGCGACAAGGTTTTGTTGCCGGTACTGAAAGAAAACGACAACGACGACCTGTCCTCGTACGCCATCAACCTCGTCACGCTCGAACACGTCGCCCCCACCCACGCCTGGATGCAAGAAAGTGGGCAGTGGCAACACGCCGTGCAGTCGTACCTGGCTTCAGTCACGTTCGTCGATCAGTGTGTGGGTCGGGTGCTCGATGCGATGGATGGTCGCGAAGACGCCGACAACACCATCATCTGCCTGTTTTCCGACCACGGTTTTCATCTAGGCGAAAAAGAACGTTGGGCCAAACGCTCGCTGTGGGAAGATGGCACTCGCGTGCCGCTCATCTTCGCCGGCCCCGGGATCGAACCGGCAGTTTGCGATCGCCCCGTGGGCTTGATCGACATTTACCCCACGCTCTTGAATTTGACTGGTCAAACCGCGAACTCGAACCACGAAGGCCAATCGTTAGTTCCCCTGCTGGAAGACCCGACCGCCCAATGGGATCGCCCCACGATCACCTCCTTCGGTCGTGGCAATCACGCCGTGCGCTCCACCCGCTGGCGATACATCCACTACGTCGACGGATCGGAAGAACTCTACGACCACGAGAACGATCCGCACGAGTGGAACAACCTGGCCAGCAACCCCGACCTCACAGAAGTGCTCGAGGAACACCGCCGCTGGTTACCCAAGAACGAGCGCCCCATTCTCGGTAGCGGCTCTACCGGCCATCAGGCATACGCGGCCGCCGCAGAGAAGCTAGAGCAATAGGGCGCTCAGTCCCTCTACGACTCGGCATCAACTTCGACCACGATCAGTGCGGTCGTGGTCTATCGTTGTCGCCGACGATAACCCACCACGGCAATTCCCACTGCCCCCACAATCGCCAACAAGGCCGAAGAAGGCTCGGGAACCGCAACATGCACTGACCCGGACAGTCGCAGATGCAACTCAAGACCGAGGTCATCTCCCAAGTCGAAGAGCGTTTGGGGGATATCAAGGTTGATCTCGCCTCGGTCGGTAAACAAACCAACCCCGAGATCGGTGGTTCCACCAACCCCAAACCCGGCAATATTATCCAAGCCGGTCACCACGGGCTCCGCGCCGAAATCGATATTCGCAGGAAACAAGTACCAATAAAGATCGTCGATCACTCCCATCGGTTCCGACAACGTTGCCACGCCGCCATCCACAGCCACTTCGAACACGTCTGCGTCTTCAACCGAGTACACTCCGTTCACCACCGGAATAGGAGTCGACTGAATACTGATGTTGCTGCCAGTGAAATCGAGCGTCACTTGCCCTAGGATATCCAGCGGCACCACCGCTCCCACTATGTCCTCAAGCGAGAGCATGGCACCTTGAAACTGCAAAGTGCCGGTGTTCGTTCCATCCAACACCGTGATTGCCTGCACTGTTCCCATCAGCGGCACATTTTCAAACGCAGCCAACACGGTTCCGCCATCGTTCGGGTCGCCCAGGAACATCTCCAGGGTGACCTCACTGCTGGTCGGGTGTAACTGGGTGGAATACGTTTGCGCTTCGGCGACATTCGCGAATATGCAAATCGTGAGCAGAGAAAAGATAATCCGGCTGAATCGAGTCATTGCAGGTAAGTCCGTATGAAGATGAAACAGGGCTCTGAAAACTTCTCTAGGGAAAACGCCGACCGTCTTGTTCACCGTCGAACTGACTCTCGCTCGAGCGATTGCGCAGAATCGAACGGTGAAGCAAATCAGAGTTCGACGAGACAGGTCGAAAGAAAGGCGGACGGAAGAATCAGGACTTAGTTTCAACAACAAACAAGTGAAACGTTTTTGTCCGCCCAGAGAGTGCGAGCCACTAGCGCCCCTAACCGATGACTACCAAGACAGGTGGTTGAAGATGAACCGTCTGCGAGTTTAGACGACGGGAGGCGGCCGTCAAGCAACATTCCACCCAAAACCCAGAGTTTCCCTCCCACGTAGCAGGGCTACTTTTCAGGGCTTTGCGTACCAAATAGCTCCACTTTCCGCTCAGGAAACAAGCACTGGCGTCCTAAACTCCCCGGGCTCCGCTCGCCATCCCCCGTTTCACCATCGACCACTCCTACGTTAGAATCTCGGCCACTTGGCCGCCTAACGTGATAGCATCACACGGCCACCCCGATGCGACGCGGTGAACCTGTGTGGTCCAACCCTCGCACTCATAAATCGGATCTCACACGCCTCAAGGAGGAAACATGTCGTTCAATTCAATGCGTTCAGTGGTTGCCGTCGCACTGCTTGGCTTGCTAGTGGCTTCGTACTCCCCCCAAGCAACCGCGGCCGAACCGGGCCCTGTCGATAAAGACGCCCCTAAAGAATTCATGATGACCCCCTCGGGTCTCAAGTACCGCATCCTGCGAAAGTCGGAAGGCCAAAAGCCCAAGAAGACCGACACGGTCACCGTGCACTACCAGGGCTGGCTCGACGACAAGACCATCTTCGATAGTTCGTACAAGCGCGACGAACCGACGAGCTTCCCGCTGAATCGCGTCATTCCCGGCTGGACCGAAGGTATGCAACTAGTCGGCGAAGGCGGCATGATCGAACTCGAGATCCCCTCGAACCTCGGCTATGGAGCCCAAGGCGCCGGCAACATCATCCCCCCCAACGCCACGCTCCACTTCCTGGTGGAATTGATCGACGTTAAGTAGTGTCGAGTGACACTCACGCATAGTAGGGCTAACGACAGCGGTGGCGAAGTTTTCACCACAGTCTATCGTCACCGCTGCGTTGGTCGTGCTAGCCCAGTGATCTCAGAACACTCAGATCGACATTCCCACCGCCCAGGTGAATCGCTACGCGCTTACCCGCCACGTCGATCTTGCCTGCGAGTACTGCGGCAACCGGCACTGCGGATGAGGGCTCAATCACAATCTTCATCCGCTCGAGCACCACACGCAGCGCGTGCAGAATCTCCTCCTCTTCCACCAGCACGATATCGTCGACCAGCTCGTGAATGATGGGGAAGGTCTTTTCACCCAAGTTGGTGCGCAGCCCGTCGGCGATGGTGTCGATTTTTTCGTTCTCAACGATGCGGCCTTCTTTCCAACTTCGGTAGGCATCATTCACCCGTGCTGGTTCGGCAGCGATCACCCTCGTCTGAGGACTCACACTTTTCACGGTAATCAACGAGCCCGACAACAACCCTCCACCCCCAACGGCCGTGAGCATCAAGCCCACCTCGGGCAGGTCTTCTAACACCTCCAAAGCCGCCGTACCCTGGCCGGCGATGACTTGCTCGTTGTCGTAAGGATGAATGAACGTCGCCCCCGTCCGCTCAACAATCTCTCGGGCCGTCGACTCCCGGGCCTCCAGCGTCGGCTCGCAAAACGTAATCTGCCCGCCGTACGATCGCACGGCCGCTTGCTTGATCGTTGGAGCGTTCGATGGCATGACCACATGCACCGGAATCCCTCGCCACTTGCCGGCCAGCGATAAGGCAGCCGCATGATTCCCCGAGGAATGCGTCACCACACCCCGCGCCGCGTCTTCGTCCGAAAGCGAGAACACGGCGTTGGTCGCCCCACGGATCTTAAACGCACCCGCCTTCTGGAAATTATCGCACTTAAAATACAATTCCCCGCCAACCATCGCATCGATCGACTGCGATGTGAGCAGGGGAGTGCGGTGGATATACGGCCGAATTCGGGCGTGGGCAGCGCGAACATCATCCAGCGATGGTCGTGGCGAGTCAGATTTGTTCACAATACGTTCACCCACAAGCTGAATACCAAGGATGGAAACGGTCGACGAGGATTTATTGTAGCGACATGTACCCACGTACCATCGCCACACTCTATAATCTTGGCGACGTTTGGGGTCGCTTCACAAACTACCACAGGGCACTACAACGATGGGCGTTACTCTCGTTATCGGCACCAACAAAGGCGCGGTAATCGCTCGCTCAGACGACAGTCGAGCAAAGTGGGACGTGGAACCGCTGCAGTTCAAAGGTTGGAGCATCACTTCGTCCGCGCGTGACAGCCAGGGCCGCTACTACCTGGGCACCTCGAGCCATATCTACGGCACGGTGATCATGGTCAGCGACGACCTCAAAGAGTGGAAGCAACTCGACAACAACCCCAGCTACGAAGAAGGCAAACCCGGCAACGAGATCCATAACCGCATCATCGGGGCCGGGGCCGATCCCTTCGCCGAGCCCAACAACAATCGCAAGCTCGACCAAATCTGGACCTTGAAGTGCGACGGCGACACCATCTACGCCGGCGTCTCCGAGGCCGGGCTCTTCCGCAGCGACGACCGTGGCGACTCGTGGCAACCAATCGCCGGCATCAACGATCACCCCAATCGCAAAGACTGGATGCCCGGGGCCGGTGGATTGTGCACCCACGTGGTACTCACCGACTCAGACAATCCCGATCGCATGTGGGTCGGCATCTCGGCCGTCGGCGTGATGCGCAGCGATGACGGCGGGAAGTCCTGGGAACCAAAGAACGAAGGAGTCATCCCCGGCGACGGCTATTGCGTGCATGGGCTCACCCAAGACCCCGACGACGCAAGCACAATCTACCGCCAAGACCATCGCGGCATGTATCGCACCCACGATGGCGGCGATAACTGGGAACGCATCGAGAACGGTCTCCCGTTGGGAAACGTCTGGGGTGGGCACAAGGCCGTGTTCGGCTTCCCCATCGTGATGGACCCCCACACCAAGTCCGTCTTCGCCATTCCGCTGCAGGGCGATGAGTTCCACATCCCGCACGACGGTAACTTACGCGTCTACCGAAGCACCAACGGCGGCGATCAATGGGAAGAGATGTCCCAAGGCTTACCCCCGGAACCCACCTACACCAGCGTTCTACGCGGAGCGATGGCCGTCGATGGGCTTTCTCCCTGCGGCGTCTACTTCGGCACCTCCTCGGGCACGGTGTACGCCAGTGCCGACAATGGAGACACCTGGTCGACCGTACCCGTCTCGCTACCCCGCGTCCTCTCAGTCCGCGCGTACACGGAGTGACATGGTGCGAACGGTGCTACAACTTCCCAGTTCGCTCATGCAGATCGTGGGAGGCGAGTCGGCCATCGAAGTCGAAGGCGAAACCCTTCGCGAGGCCTTGAACGATCTCGTGCGGCAACGCCCTGAGGTCCGCGTGCATCTCTTCGACGAAACCAGGCAGTTACGGCAAAACGTGCTGTGCCTGCACGGCGACTTCTACTGCGGCCGCCGCGACAACCTGGACGTCCCACTCACGCCCGACACCGAAATCGCCATCGTGCAAGCCTCATCCGGCGGGTAGCAGGCCGCCACCCGCCGCGATGAGAATGTTTGCAACAAGAAGTTCTAGAACTTCACTTAACTGAGAGTGTGCCACTCGGCTCAGTCCAGCTCTTTCAGCCGAATGTCCTTGTACTCAACCCACATCGGCTTGCCGGCGTGGAGTTGCAGAGCCAGCACACCTTCACTCAGAGCCCGCTTGGGGTCCTCATCGGTGAAGTCGAGAATCAAGCGGCCGTTCATGTAGTGCTGAATGTGGTTCCCTTCGGCGCGGATGATCACGTCGTTCCAGTCGTCAAGGTTGAACAGCTCTTTGAAGCCCTCTGCGTCAATCAGCGTGTCGGTCACTTCTTTACCGTCTTCGTCCCAGGTGGCCTTTTCACCCACCAGGCAGATGCGGCGACGCGTTCCACCTTCGTCGTAGATGAACCCGCTCACACTCGGCATCTCGACTTCGTTGCGGATCTCGTGCTGGTAGCCACGCACCACCCATTCATTACGGGCCGAGT